GTTTTTTGAGATGTAGTCTTGCTATGTAGTTTAGGCTGGTTTTGCACTTACATGTAGCCTAAGCTAGCCTTGAACTTGATCCGGCAGGAGGATCAATCCATGGGGTGTATCTGGAGGGGGATCGGGGATTAAATAGAGACATGGGGGAGACAGAGAGACTGAGGCAAGTTGAGAGAGTCCAATCAAGCCCTGTTTATTCCGGAAGTGATTACATCTTTTATAGGCCAAGGGCAGGCTGGTGGGACAGGAAGAGGCTACGGGGATGAATACAACAGGGTCATCGTCACATCCGGGTATGTGACATAAGCAGGAGAGGATTATGGTTAATGTAGGCAGACACATTGTGCCCATAGGAGAGACGGGGATGTAGCAATGGGGCTGTCGCTCGGCGCGGCTCCCTACATGAACTCATGGTGATACTTCTGCGGCAGCTTCCCAAGTGCCATCGTTGGCTTGGTACTTAAGTTCTTGAGCTCCTTCTTCATGTAAAATGGGGATAAAAACAGCTAACCAGGTTGTCAGGATTAGACATAATATAAAAAATGGCATCAATTCCTGACTCTGTGAATATAATCTGAATTTGCTTTATCATAGTTGTCAAACAACTACTCTCCCTTAGCCATAGTCTTTGGTGATCAGTTATACATTTTAGTAAAGTTGTTCAGATTTCATTACAATGTTACTGTAGTCTGATTTCAGATCCAGAGGTCTGTATATTTGTTCACAGGCATTTCCTATAAGACAAATTTCCAAAAGGTACTAGAAAGGACCCAAAGGGTGGTGGTGGTGTGTGTATTGGAATAAGGATACTGGAATTTTTGAGAATTTATTTTTATGAAAAATCACTTACTGTTGTAATATTTGTACAGTACTTGAAATAAGAAATTAATTGGCTTTATTTATACTTTAGGTTTCTCAAGAAAGAGAAGCTATGCAATATGTAAGCTCGTGTGTCTGATTTCACTTAACATTATGTTCTCAAGGTGCATCCATTTTCCTAACTAAAGAGTTAAATCTATCTTTCCTTTCTTAAAGGGGAAGGGGAACGAGATAGAAGAAGCGGAAGGATAGGGGATAAAAAAATTAATTAAGACGTGTTGCATACTTGTACCTACTCCACACAAACATTATGCACTGCAAACATGCACCAAAACCAAACAAACCGAAAGGAAGTAGATGGAGAGATGGGGGAGGGCGAGGGAGGAAGAGAAAGGCGATGTAAAAAAAGATGTTACATACATGTACTAATTCCTCAAAAGGAATGTAAATATGTACTACACATACGTACTAATAGCAAATCACACACACACACACACACGAATGAGTAGTCAAAAAGAAACATTTTTGGAAAAGCTACATATACAGGCACTAAGCAGGCATCTGCCCACCGGTTTTGGCAAACCTTTTAGAGCTTTCAATAATAGAAACAGCCTGCTACAGCAGGCATGCCGTAAGTTCGTCATCACTGGATACAAATAACTCCCTAAGGTACATGTTATTATGGGTCAGGATACCAAAAGGCAGCTTATAAAACTTGCACAAGATTGCTGTGCTGACAGTAGATCAGGGATGTAAACTTAGGTGTGCGTGACTCAGAAAAATGTGCCACTACAGACGGTCCATTAGTAAGAATCAGGGAAGGCTGAGTCCTGCTCAAAACAACATTAGCAACATTCAGATTAGCTGAACGAGGTGACTAGAATTCAGGTCCGCAATCCTCAAAGTTATAGGGACTCAGCTGTGTTCTTTGAGAAAACTGCCATTTTCACATTAAAACAAAACAAATACCAAATCCTCAACTAAAATCATTATTGGATAGTTTAAGTTAGACATACAATATCGTCAAAGATGCCTGGATAATGTAAGGATTTTCTGACCCTCCCCTGCAGCACTTGGGTGGGTAGTAGAATTTCCCAAACAGCAGCAGCAGCAGCAGCAGCAGCAGCAGCAGCAGCAGCAGCAGCAGCAGCAGCAGCAGCAGCAGAAGAAGAAGAAGAAGAAGAAGAAGAAGAAGAAGAAGAAGAAGAAGAAGAAGATGAGCATCGTAAGGAGAAGGAGTAGGCACCACGCTTCTCTGAAATAGGATCAAATTGGCCACACATGTGGGCATGTCTGCTTAATAAAGTGAGGGGAGAACAAGACCCAAAATGACAATATCAAATGAAAAACATCTTCATATAGAGTTAGAACATGTGCAGATCTCATTGGAGCAACCTGAATCACTTGCAGATGTTGCTTGGAGTTTCACACTGGGCTCTGCAAAATAGACTAACTAGCTTTAAGATATAGTCAGATACTTGATTGGCTGGGCTGCAAAAGGAATCAAGGTCCATCCATGTGATAGGTTTGCAGCACAGAGCCTGCACAGGCCACTCTGCACCACGGAATGTGTCTTCAGTGAACCCTTACACAGAGTTCTAAACAGAAATCTTCGAGTGATGCAACATTATGGTGGCACAGCCCTGTAATCGCAGATACTTGGAGGCTGAGGCAGGGGATCACAAGTTTGAAGATAAGGCGAACAATTTAACCAGATGCTATTTGCAAAAAGCAGGGGCTGGTATAGCTCAATGCTCCATGGGTTCAATCTCCAACATTACAAACAACAAAAAAGTCAAAACCAGTGATGTGTTACTACTACTTGAGGTGGATTTAACCAAACAGATTTCTCAGCTACTTGCAAAATGGAGCAAAGATCTGAGCCTGGAACATAAAGTAAGAAGAAAACGACCCCAGGCTTTGGATTGTATGTCCTTAAGACTGTTGGTTGAGGTACTTCCCCTTCCACAAAGGCTGCTGGAGGAAAAGTCAATGCTGTTGTGCCTTGCAAATGTATTAACAATGCTTTGAACACCTCCCCTGGAGGAAGCCAGAGCATGCCATGTGCTGCTTCTCATGATCACCCATTCCATTCTCACTGGCCTCACAGTCTCACTCTGGATAGGCAGGTGAGTGAAATCCCAGGGGGCAAGGAACACGGCAAGGCCGCTGAAAAGCAGAACTCGGGCCGAGTTCACACGGACTGCAGGCACCAGTAACCCGATGCTGTGTGGGGTGGGGTGGGGGGGCTGGCAGGCAGACGCAGGTGTAACTGGTACAAAAGTGATCAAATGGCAAGAGTACGAGAAAACAAAGGCAAAGAAAATTCTTAGAAGAAAAATCGTTTCTCTGCCCCTGAGCATTTTAGCATCCGCTCAAACCAAAATGCAAACCTAGAAATCAACGGCTACCCATTTCATCGTTTATTCCAGCACGTCAGAACCCTTGTCAGTTACCCAAACACTAAACAATCTTTAAACGGCTTCTGGTTGATCAATTTGTCCCCAAAGCCAATTTATACCACAGCAATTCCCACCCGCCTGGGGAATGAGGCCCTGAACAATCACCGCCCGGCCTGCTGCTGCCCTCCACTAACCAGGTGTTCACAGGGCCAGACATTTCCTGTCAGTTTAGACTGCGGACAGATTTGTCAGCCACACTGTCCTCCTTTCCTCAGGAACAACTGACAGCCAGTGTGAGGGCAACTCTCCTACTCCCTTGACGTGATTCAAGACAAGAGGCCCTCTGAGCCGCTGACACCAGAAACTTTACTGAGGCCTAAGAGATGAGGCTGGAATACACTAAGGGTATTTCTCAGCCTTGCACCAGACTTGAGAATCTGCTTTTTAGGCATTCTCTATGGAGAAAAAAAAAAAAAAAAAAAAAAAAAAATCAGTCTAGAAGGAAGGTGGTAACACATTTAAATAACCTATTTCTATTTGCATTTCTATATAGAATGTCTGCAGGGAGTATCTGCTTTAAATATATTTTGAATAAAAACCTTGAATGAACAATTTCATCAGTTGCATGTTTTCTCTTTTTTCCTCTATTAAATTTCTTAAAATTCAATATCCCACACACCCTACATATTCTTGCTGGTTTCATATTATGGTAACACGTACTCTATTATGTCCATACAGAAAACTGATGTTCTATACATAAATCCCATCAGCAGACTCAAGTATATAGTTCACTGTGGGATTCCCTATTTTGTTCCTAATTCACCAGTCTGCTGTGGACATTTTTATTCTGACAAACAATTCAAGCTTGCATTTCATGCTTGTCAGACCTCTTTTCTCATGTTAACCCAACACTACCAGTCCTCCTTCCTCTACGGATCTGAACACAAATCACATGATAGCTCCATGACATGAGAGCCTCCCAGGCCGAGAGAGGGCAATATATCCTGTGTCCAATACGCGTCTAACTGGCCCAATATGAGTGAAAATGTGACTGTTTCCTGGAGCAGGATGTGCACATATGCACAGACATGTGTTTCCATGCACACATATATGAAAGGAGGGGAAATGATGAAAGGGCCAGAAGAAAAAGCAGAGGCGCCTCTGTACTGCCTTCCTCTGGGAAACTGCGAACTGGTAAGTATTCTTTGCTTACTCTATTAAATATGAGATCCGGGCACATGTGCAGGCATATTCAACAATCTACCGTGGGAGTTGACAGCTTAGTTGTGTCAGCATTTCTACTATTAATGTCTATGTCTGGAATTCTTCATGATTCAAAAGTGCTTAAGGAAAAAAAAAAAAAAACAAGCAAAGACACTTGAGGCAAAAATAAGTAAACCAACTAAGGAAACAGGCACTTTTCTTTGCTATTTGCATTGTAAGATAAATACAAAACTCAACTTTAAAGTATTATTGGGTTGATTTCTAATTTTTCCCCTTGCTTATTTTGGTATGAGCATTATTTTATTTTAACTTTATTGGTACCAGGCATTGAACCCATGACCTCACACTTGCCAGACAGAGACATGCAGCTAAGCTAAATCCCTGGCTCCTGGTAATGAGTTCTTAAAAAAACAAGTTTCAATAACACCTTCTGAGAGAGTTCACAAGTCTATAATTTAGGTTTCCAACAGCAGCCTTTAGGAGCGAACAATTCACTACAAGTCACAAGGGTTACCAGGTTGATTGTCTCTTGAAGAAGCAAAAGGTACCACATCGAAGAGTCATAATCTTTTAATAAAGAGCTCACACAAAATAATGAAATTATATAACATACAAATGTACAACAGAAAAACAATGTAAATTCAGTTTGGCAAGTCAGATTTTAATTGTATTGGGGAAAAGATAAAATTTATCTTAATCTTTTATGATTTTAAAAGCAAAGCAAACACATTAGCATTTCATTTTAGTATACACAATTTTCATGTATTTGCTTAAAGAAATCCTAGTTTATAAGTCCAACAAAGCAGAATAAAGAAGACAAATGGAACACCTAAGTACCAAGAAGCCAAGGAACAGAGCCTACTCAGACAGCCACCTCCGTGGGGCTGGAGAAGGCTAACGTCTCAGTGTGCATGCACTGCTCTTTCTGCAACACTGCCACGCACAATGTCTGAGACAGCCTGCGAGATGCAGACAAGGCAAACAGTCTCCCATTTCGCCACGGAGGACAAGCATTACACAAGCCCACCCTCCTCCAGATGCATGGAGGCCGAAATGTTAACACTTTGAAAGTCAACTCTTGATCAACCACATCCTCAGAAAGAAAGAGCAAAAGCACAAACCCGACTAAAGGCACAGAAAAACTGCCAGCATGATCTTGGAATACACTTCTAAACCAGGTGTATCTAAGGTTCTCAGGGCTCACAAGACTGCTATGAACACTAGTCACTAGTTAGAACTCTTTTCCCTAGTGCAGCTGACAAGAATTAAGTGATAATCTCAACATATGTTTTTAGATTGATGGGTATAATTCTATGGATTCAACCAGAAAACTGCAAATATAATTCTGAATTTGGCATAAACATACTGCATGGACAAATAACCCAGGCAACACATGGGAACAGTGGAAAACAAAATTTTTTAAAACTCTAAGGCACTATAATTACATTTCAAATACTACAATTTCTGTTGTTTTTGGTACCTTTCTCCTCCGTCATATTTTAGTGGCTCTTTGCTTTCAATAAATCATTTTATTGTTCCCCTCTTTAATATATTGAGCTATCAGTCTTTCTCCCAAGGTTCGCTGCTTCACTTTCACAAGCTGTCTTCTTAACCTTGCTGTGGATGTTCTCCCTGAAAGCTCTTGCCTAGAAACATTTCAAGTAATATTTCATCAGTTTTCTCCAACTCCTCTGCATCACAGAAATCCATACTGCTGAACTCTGTATTTGAAATGCTTCTGCATGCAACTGGATGGACACTACAGGCTTCCAAAGCAGAATTAAAGACATTATACTTTGCTTGTGATGCATGATGACTCTGAAATCTTCCCACAGTCCCATTTTCACATGCATGTCTCCGGCTTACAAGCATCCAACTATGAACCAAAAGGCACACATGCCTCTTCTACTGCTTCCCATATAGTAAGGGTTAGCATAATAAAATCTAAAGGTAAAGAGCGTGTGATTCATAGTCTCACCACAAAAAATTAAGTTGTGATCTTGGAAAACTTCATAAACCTCTTTAACTTTTCTTTCCTTACCTGTAAAACGGGAATAATAACACCTGTGTCTTAGGGTAGCTTGAAAATTGATAAGTAAATATATTAGATTTATGAAAATTAACTGGCTGTTATTGGCCCTTAGCACCATAGCTTAGATGCTATCTCCCCCCAATCATCATCCTGTCACAGAAGTTTGCTGCTGCTGATTTACTGTCCCAGGGAGCATTTTCCAGTAGAGTTAAGATACTAATTTGAAACTTATAGCCAACGTGTAGCCTCAGTGTTTGTGTTTTAGCCACATGAAATTAAACTCCCTCTTAATGGTGGAGACTGTGTATGTAACATCTATAAAACAATCTGTTTAGACTTACAATGTCGACCAGTGCTGCTAGGCCTTGTTGAATAGACCAGAGGGGGATGAAGAAAAATGAACACTACCTAATGAACTTGCATTTCAATTGAGCAGGATTTTCAATATGAAAAAAATGAGGTTTTTTTTTTAAAATAAATTCTTTTGTTAAGCAACAATAAAAAGAGAAAAAGAACACTCAGCTGGGAACAATAGTTACTCAGCTCATAAAAAATCATTAGAAGGAACATTTTCTTTGTCTACCATGCTTAGCAATTTTGCTAGTGGGAAATGATCCAGATCATTTAGATTCTACCTATAAAATTGAGTCCACAGAACCTTCCTAACTTTTTCAGCTAATAAATTACACTTACACATTTTAATTTCCTAATGTATATAACCATCATAAATAAAATTTTGGCTCATGATTTATGAAATGTTTTTGACAAGTAGTTAATTCTGATCTAGTATGAGTAGGTACACTCTGGGATGCTTTTTTACAGGGAGGGAGGGACACTTCTGACATATTTACTCCCTCGGATCCAATCCTCCTTGCAGTTAGAGGCCTGTGTCTGGGTGGTGACTGCTGTGTTGAGTAGGGTGCAGAGTGCCTATGGACAAGGTGGTTTTTGCTATGCAAAAACAACCAGCCCTGAGCATATTTAGCTTCTCACTGCAGACTCTGTAGCTCATTCTAAGATGGGTGAGTCAGAGAAACTTCCTATTTTTGACATTTGGCTGACTCATCCTCTCCCATAAATGTCATTAAACTATCTTAAGTTAATTGTGAGACGTGTCTAAGTCATTAAAGACTTTTGCCTGTGTTTAAGGTTCCCATGACAACCAAAAATTTTCTGTAGAGATAAAATGTTATTTCTAATGGCCCTACTGGGTAATCATAATACAACTCAGTATTTCTTGTTAATTAAAATGAGGCAAAAAATTTAACTATGTTTAAGAAGATTTTGTTTACTTGGAACATATTAAACATTTTAAGAACGTATTCTGTATATTTCTATTGCATGGTACATTTTATGGTGTTATCTCCTGAACCACTAAAGCATTTTCTGTCAATAAAGCAATGCAGCTACACTCAGCACTTGTCTTTACTAAACTTTCCTCTTTTGACTATTGTCAAAAGGCTCCATTGATTATAAGCTATGTGGCTTTTCATGCTCCCTTTACTGGTCCGTCTGACCTATAATTTCTCTGTGAAGTTACTGTTATTTTTAAAGTCTTTCCTCATAGTGGACCCAGAATCGAAACTGCAATAACAAAGAGCTTAATTAAGCAGAATATGCAATGATAGCAAATATGCAAAAGCAATCTTTACTGAAGACAGGTAACCATTCAATCTGTTTAGATAATGAGTTGAGGTGGATAATTGGTCAAAATCCAATTTTATAACTATACTGTTCTTTAGAGACAATATAACTAACACCTGCCTAGAACCATAGTTGTATCATCTAAAACTTACCAAGCCTATATTTCAAAATTTTTATATTATGATTTTTTAAAAATACCTTACCTAATTTGAATAAAAAGAAAACACAACAACAACAACAACAACAAAACTTCCAACCTTACCCTCCTACAAATTGTAAAAACAACCACGTATTCTTTCATAGTCTTCTCTCTTTTCTGTTTAAATCTTGGCAGGCTCTTAAGTATTAAACAAACTAAAAGGCAAACATGCTGCCTTGACAGTTCCCAGAACTAGGTTTAGCTTGGTAGCTCCTATTTCCAGTCCCTTGAACGACTATCTCCTGTAGCACAGCTGCTCTGGTGTGATGATGCTCCAGCAAACCTACAGAGAAGCCATGAAGAGAAGAACTGAGGCTTCCAGCCAACACTCACTGCCAACTGGCAGCTATATGAAAATGGCTCCTCCTGCCTCAGGTGATGTTTCCTGGAACAGAGTGAAGCTGCTCCCACTGTATCCTATCCAAGTGGTAGATTCAAAAGTAAAGTAAATGATTATACTGGATCACCCCCTGGAACTTCAACCCAAGGTATTCTAAAAAATAAAATTAACGGGGCAGTGAAAAAATAATTTAGTCTTTGAACATCTGCTAGTGATTAAGTGGTTTATACATCCTTATTCCCAGCAATCCTCCTAGTATTCAAAACCAAATCTGTTTGACTCTAAAGCCCATAACAGGAAAATGGGAAGAAAATTCAAAGTTAATGAGGAATGACTAAACTCTCAAGATTATTTTGTCCCATTTCTTGCTTTTGAGAAACGCTGTGCTCTAAACACAGTACCTGATAGATCTATTATTCCTAATTCTGATCTCAGGAGAAGCAATATTGAGTCACAATCTTTTTGTCTTGAGGCAAGGTCTTGCTACGTATTCCATGTGGCCTCAAACCTGCAGCATTCTTCTACCTCGGTCTCCTGAGTGCTGGGGTGACGGCTGTGCAGCACCTTGCCCGCTCTGCTGACTCACAGTCATACACTGTTGTTACAGGACTCACTACAGGGCTTAATACATCCAAGATGGTCAATACATATTTAGAATGCATAACTGAACAAATACACAATACCGGAAGGTTATAATTAAACACAATGCCTCAGATTTCTCTCGGCTTCTTTCCGCCTCTTCTCATAGGGATCATTTTGTAAATCTTTAATCATTTTAGTGGCTCTCAGGGTTCTCATGCTATAGGGTCTCAGAGAAAGAAGAGTTCCCTTACAAGTCCTAGCCACCATTTTACAAATCACCAGTAAATCCTAATACATTTCAGATCATTTTTACAGGGGTGGCAATCAGTGTTTGGTCTCAAAACATTTAAAGCACCTTCATAGGCAAAGTCCCAAACTCCTTTGAAGAAAAATAAGGAAAAATAAGGATACAAACATAAGCAGTAAGAAAATTTCTACTCAATATTCAAAAATTCCAATTGCACTGGTTATGGTTATACTTTTGCACACTTGTGTGTGTGCATTTGTATGTAGAGTTTAGGACTTCCATAAAATGTTTTAAAATGTGAATATCATAGAGAACATTAAGAAAAACATGCAGTTTTTCCTTAATCATTTACACAGTTCCTTTAAAGGAAAAAGATGTTTAGTCTTTTATTGTTGTATGGCTCAGGTGAAAGAATGACTAAGATCAATACATGTAGGAAAAGTAAGACCATATTTTAGATGAATTTGCAGGTCTTTTTAAAAAATTTCTTCATACTGTTCCTACAGTTCAGTCCTTGAGTTTTGATCAGTGTTTGGTAGTTGATTCTAGCAAGTCTTTTGCTTCATTTATTTTGGCTGCTAGATAAGGAGATCCACCTGAGAAGACAAAGAAATTAAATGGATTAAAACATGTCATTAGTGATAGTTTTTTAGCCCTTAACATAGAATAAATAATAATTCTGACATTTACTCACATATACATCTGATTTTACATACTTACCTGAAAGGAAAACAATATAAATTAATTTAGTGAAGTAATACATCAACAACCAAAAACAACTTTTAAGAAAAGTAATAAGTCACGGTCAGATGTAATTTGAAAACTGTTCAAACATTTTCCTAGTAGGACATTTATCATTCAAAGACTTGATCAGAGAATTTCCTGACATGAGGATCATTAAATTAACAAAGTAACACTCCTTTTTTGTTAGTTTATTTGTTTTGAGACAGTCTCACTATGTAGGTTAGGTTGGCTTTAAACTTACGGCAATCCTCCTGCCTCAGTCTCCAGAATGTTGAGATTACAGGTGTATGCCACTACAAATGGTCACAAAATAACATTCTTGCTAGGTGTGGTGGCACATGCCTGTGATCCTAGCACTCAGGAGGCAAAGGTTGGAGGATCACCATGAGTTCAAGGCCAGTCTGAACTACTTAACAAGACCCTGTCTCAAAAAGACAAAAAACAAAATCTACAAAAAAAAAATCCAAAACAAAACAAAACCCCCAAAACAAATTTACAACTCCAAGCCCCTATAATATTCTAAAAAAAAGAAAAAAAAAAAAACAACAACAACAAAAAAAGAGAACATTCATAATCTTTAGAGGAGGTAAATCAATCTGTGGGTTCTATAAAGTCTTGTGATTTTACAAAAACAAAATGCATGTTATGCATGTTTAAAAAATGCAGCTATTTAATACCTGATGCTAAAATTGTATTTACTATCAGAGATTAATTAAATAATACTAAAAAATGAATCATAATAAAATGAACCTATTCTCTGATATTAGCCCATCAGAATATTTTTAAAGGGTAGTCATGGATTTACAGTTCCCTAAAACAAAGTCATTCTTTAAAGATTTTTTTTTAAATGTGGTGAATTCTTCCTAGTGCAAACAACAAGAGGAAAATTGAAATACATTTTAAATACAGAATCATAATAAAATTACAAACAGTACCTATTAGACATACAAAAATATAATTCCCGCTGTCACATTAAAGCTATGCAAACAGCATACTTCTTACTTCTAGTCCTCAATATTGTCATTGCTTAATACTTCAGCAAATAAGACATACAGTGAACCCGCCTCTGTGATTATTTTCATTTTGTATTCTCTCTTGGAGTACAAATCATCTTACAACAAACCAAAAAGCATCTAGGTATTATAAATGTATTGTCCTTACTTTACTGAGGCCTTTACCATGCACTCAAGGAAGGAAAAAGTAAGGACCAGAGAAAAACAAACAGGTTGTAGTGGAAAAGAACGCTGGAGGAAGCTACATTTAGCTTTTAGCTCTTGTGACGTCCACTGACATTTTCACAAGATCTGAAATGTAATAAACACTTGGTAAGTATACCATACAGTGTCCTTGAATATATGATAGAAATTCAAAGGAAGTTCATAACCCACCTGTGGTTATGAAACAAGCTGACTTCACAATCACCTTTTGAAAACAACCTTGGAATAAGGAATGTCAATCCTGGTAGGCTGTGCAAAGTTTTAGATTTATCAAGGAGATTCCAGACATCTTATGTATCTTCAAAAAATATTAATATATTAAATTGAGCTTAAACAATCTTTGATTCATATGTGTTCTAATTAATTCATAGGCCACAATATGTTCATTTAGCAGCTGGAGAAAAAGGCACAAATCCAAAGCCTTACATTTATTGAAGGCAATGTTACAGGAAAATTATTCAGAATAATGTCAAATTCTCTTTAACCCTGAACTTGTAATTTGTGTGAATGACAGAAAGTTTGGATTGGCTCTTGTAACTTCCATCCTACCTCTTTCTAATGTTAGGGGCAGCTGAGTTAGAGATTTTATAGGCCATCAGACGGGCTAGGTTCTAGAACTATGGGGCAGACAGACAACCTCCTGCTGTGGGTCAGGCCTCAAGACAAAAGATCAAACAAATGCACCCATATCCTAAGGACTGATACTCTAACTAGTTCTTCATCACCCTAAGGAAGTCAGAAGTCACTATCCCAACATTCTGGGACAAGTCACTGCTCAGTAAGAATGTACCCTTTCAACGTGACTGGCTTCCCCATTTGTTTCTGATTTAATCAACTTTACCTGAGCAATTAATCTTTTTGGTTGACCATAGTTCTGTCCCACACTATGCCCACTTTGTGAGCTCCCAGGTTTTCACCACCTAGAACCCATCTTACTTTGTGGTTTTACTCTATAAAAATCCCTAGAAAAGACAAGAGTCTTTGGCAACCTGCTGGGAATCCCTTGTCTTTCTCACAGAGAAGCTTTCTTTCTCTCAATAAATATATTCTGCTCTTAACCCTAAAATTCATTCTTTAAATTTAGAGAACACGAACTCATACTGGACATTTAGTAGGTTGCAAATTTTGTTCTCCCATATCACTAATACTTGGAAAAATCAAAGTCCTACATTCCCTCAGGTTGTGTTTGATTCATACTAGGTTTCATCAATTAGAGAGAGTCCTGTGAGGTGTGGCAGGCTGAGGAGAGGGAAAGGCCTTCTTGCTGTGCTCTGTGATCACTGTGAGAAGCAAGAGCACAGAGCATGGCAGTGACTGGTTCTTGGCTCTGTTCCCGTTGAGGCCAAGCTTCCCTGCCTGAGGGGCTCTGTGACTGCTCCCACTCATTCCTGTAGACCTATTTTAGAATTTGCTTCCTTATACCTTCTAACAATTGGCAAACTGCACTAAATGTTCTCCTGTTAGTTTCTGGCACTGAATTTTGAATGAGAACATAGTATAGGACACATATCCTATGTTTAATTAAAACAACATGCTCTTGAATTTTTTCACTCCCTATTTTCTAATTATCTCATTGGTTAATTTACAAAAAACCACAAATTATGTTGATTACAAGAGATTGTATTTTAAATGATGTAAAAAGATATATGCTAATAAAAATGGAATCCTGTTGCTATCGTAATTATCACATGAAGAACACTTCACAGCAAAATGCAATAATATAGATGTCACAGTGCTGTAAGGGCCTACTGCTAAGACCAAGCAATCACAAATTTGAATATACCCAGTCACATACTCCAAGTATACAAAGACACTGATAAAACCAAAAGAAGAAACACAAATCACTATCATAGTATGAGACTTAAAATACCACTTTCAGTAATGCGCTAAACAATTAAGAGAAAAAGAAAGCAGAACATAAAATGTAACAAAAAAACATGGTCTAACTGACTTACATGACTCTATAAGGGAAGGATACATGTTCATTCATTCATTCATTCACTCTTTCAGACAGGGTCTTATTATGTACCCCATTCGTTCATTCAATCACTCAGACAGGGGCTTGCTATGTAGTCCATGCTGGCCTCAAACTCATGATGATGCTCCTGCCTCAGCCTCCCAAACACCCTTTAAACTGAAAAATTAATGAGTACCAAAATTGACTGTGGACTAGGGCAAGTGTCAACAAACTCCAAAGGTGAATTCACAGTGAATAGTGCTACTTAAAAGAGTATTCCACGGAGTAATGCTGGTTCACAACTGCTATTGGACTACTGCCAGGTAAGCATAGAAGTTGAGAGTGTTTGGAAATACAGCCCTGTATTTGTAAAGTTATATAATTTTAAAATATAAATTGATGCTTAGAACTTACATTTATTTCACTTCAACTTTAGAGTGAAGGCATTTTTGTTGTATTTACAAAGGCTACCATCCACCAGAGTTTGAAGGAAAAAAATAAGTCTTCATCTGCCACGAAGAATATCAGCAGTACTGATATAGCCTACATTAACTGACCATTGTATGTGCTAGATATCAGTAACAAACCCAAGTGGAAAATCCCAATTTTTGGAAATTAATCAATATACTTCTAAGTAACTCATGTATCAAGGAGGATATCAAAAAGAAATTAGGGGCTGTGGATGTGGCTCAGTGGTAGAGTTCTTATGTTGCCTGTATAAGGCCCTGGGTTCAATCCCCACCACCAAAAAACAAAACAAAACACTCAACGTAAGTTAGACATGCAAACTGACCAAATAATTCTTAAATTAAAATGCAAAGGGAGACTTCTGGGAGAAGATGGCAGACAGACAGCAGCAGCTACGGAGGTTCTCTGAAAGACCCAGCTTAGAATCCAGGAATGGTGCTGAGTGAGGAATCCTAAGCAAGAGGAGATATACCCTGCTGACCCAAGAACGAACTGGGCTGAGAGAAAACAACTGGGAATGCAATCCTGCTGCTATAACAGGAACAGATAAAGCCTCAGCGTGGAAGCTGGAGCCCGCGCCATTGGAAACGGCGATTTGGGTTTCCTGCTGCCGCGGCTGCGTCTGAATTGGCTCAGCAGGGAGAAAGACACACGAAAGCTCTGAGAACAGGAATCGATGAATGGAGTTGGGAGCGGGATGGGCGGGGAGCTGTGCATCAACCTGTGGTGAGTGGGAGAAACTGGGACTCTTCTACGATCTAGGAGGCTCCAACAGAGGACATTCTGGGACTGGGCAGACTTGCTGGAACAGGGTGCTGTAGTGACTTCAGTCACATATCCCCCTCAAGCGGGATTGGTGAGCAGTGCCTAGCTTACGTGACGCTGCTGGTTGAGTCCCAGTAGGTTAGCACAGCCCAGGTCCCAGTGCCTGAAGGTGACCTGGAGGGGTGGGCCCTGCATAGGCTGCCCAGTCCATAACTCCCTGGTGCGCTGCGGTGGGTGGGAACACCTAGCCAGCGCAATTCAATCAGACTGTGGTCGACAAGGAAGGAAGCTGGGCCTCCTATATATGCTTGCATATATAAGGAACAAAGAATATGGGAAGAGGGAGCAACAAGAAAGGCCCCTCAGCCCCCAATCCTGAGAAACAGGCAATAGCAGACACCGCACCAATAGACATAAAGCGCTATCTCCAGAGCCTCATAGACGA